ATAATAATTACAACACTGTGATAAAGGTGCAGGAATGGTCGGTAGGTAAATGGGATGTAGACACTCAGTCTTATATGGGCATTTCTGTATAGGATTCCTGTGACAGGAGTGCCATGGCTGATTAGAGGAGAAAATACTGATTTTTTCAATAAGTCTTGTTGAATAAGCATTTGGGGAAAAAAATGGAAATTGGGCTACTACTTCCCATCAAATAAAAAAAAAAGAGAAAAAGCTTTAGTACATTAAAGTACTAGGTGTGAAAGGCAAAGCTGTAATGCTTCTTTAAAAAGAACGTAGAATACCTCCATGGCCTTGGAAAGGATTTCTTCAGCAAAACACAAAACCGTTAGCTCTAAAGGAAAGAACTGATAAATCTGACTACATTAAAATGAAAAACCTATATCATCAAAGGACTGTTTATTTTTAAAAAAAAAAGGTGAAAGGAAACCACAGAGAAGATACTGTCTGCTTTGCAACATTTGTTTCAATAATGCAGGTAAGTAGGTTAGGAGAATGATATCAACTGAACTGAGAAGTAACATTGGTTATTTCATTTTCCCTAGCCAATCTTGTGTATGATCAAGTAGCAGGAAGTAAACACAGAATATATAAACATAGCTGAATGTTGGTTTTGTTTTACTGTTTATGATGCCTGTTCACCTCAATTTGGCCTCTTTTCTCAATTTGAACTTGTACTTTATCTTAAAATTATTGGTTGTACCTTTTGCCTTGTCTTTATTATTCAGTATCCTCAACCCTCTGTACCTTTCTGTCAAGCTACCTTTTCATAGAAAATTTTAAAGATGAAGTATTTTATTTACTCTAGTATTTTTTATTAGTAACATAACATCTACTAAATTGTATTAATATTTTTCATTGGGATTATTATTGGCTTTACCAGTGCTCTGTTTACTGAGTTGCAGTAGAGTTTGAGAGATCAACCCTATCCTATTTTCTCTGTAAGTTTTTCTTATTTTTGGTGTGTGATTTTGCAGAAAGCACTATTTGGAGAAAGTATATTTCAAAGCATGTTTCTGTAGCAGAAACACCCCATTTGCAACCACATATATCTGGCAAAAGACTGCAGTGCTAAGACACAATTATTTCACATTTTAGCCTCTCTACAATTGGAATGCATCTTGCGATATATGAAATATTTCAATTATAATTGCCAGGGTTTTTTTCTTTTTTAGGGTAAAATAATAGTGTATTTTAGAAGCTGTTGATTACTTAGATTTGATGAAGTAATGTAGTATCTAGAATGTAAAGAACTATGATTTTAAAAAGACAGGCAGCCCAACAGAGAAGTGGCAGACTTGAGCAGCCACTTTACAACAGAAGAAATTTCTATGGCTAGTAAATATATGAAAAAGAATGTTTAATCTTTTAAAGTAGTTGCACATTGAATACAATGTGAGATATCTTTATATACTTAACAAGTTGGAAGAAGTTTAAAAACATGATAAGTATTGATGTGGACACAAAAGGATGCATGTGGTATGATTCCAATCCCATCAAGTTGCAAACCAGGCAAAACTAAGCTGTGTTGCTCAGAAATGCATTACTTAGTTGCTAAAAGCATTTTTAAAAAGAAAAGAAATCATTGAAACAAATGTAAAGATGATGGTCACGTTGGGGGTGGAGGGAGGGAGAGATTTGTGATTGGAGACATATGAGGGGGCTTTTGGCATCCTAGTAATGTCTTATTTCTTCATCTGCATGAGTTTGCTTTGTTATTGCTTATTACTACTAAACTTTATATATATGTTTTATGTACTTTTCTGTACATTTCAGAATAAAACAGAAAAAGGAGGGAGTGATCAGTTATGTCAAAGGTTGTTGATTTGCCAGGTTATGGACTGACACTTGACCATTGGGTTAAGCAAAGTGGAGACTTCTGATGCACAGATTGTCTCAGTGGGACCGGTTGGGGCAGTGATCTGATTGGAATGGGCTCAAGAGAAAATGAGAGGAGAGGAATTGGACACTGAGTAAGAAGAACTTGGAGGAATTTTTATGTAAAAAGGAGTGATATAATGTTGATTGGAGGGGATGTACAAAGCTTTACGTTAAGTTTATAGAGAGTATCAAGAGAATAGAAAGGTAAATTTTCTGGAATGCTGAGGGAAGTGGAGTTGGGTGGGGGAAGGTAGAAAACTTTTTATGTGTTTGAGAGTACATTATTTGAAGGGGAAGAAGTGAAAATTTATAATACATTTGTGAAGAGAATTAACATTCAAGCTACTTTGTAAATCTTGGAAATATATATGCTGGAATCACACATTTTACGTTTATTAATGGAAAGAATCATGATCACCATCTTGCTCAGTGCCACTTTGCGGAAAGCGAACCAAGCCTAGAGGGATTAAGTGCTTGCTCAAAATTTTACCACTAATAATTATCCTAGACTAAAATGCAGAGCTGCTCCTGCCTCTTGGGTCAGGGCTTTTTTTTAAAATAAAATAGTATTATCTTTAGTATGATTTGCTTTTAAATTGGATTTTATATAGTCATTATGTTTATAATAGAGTTTATTTAGATGATATTTCAATCAGCCTTTGCCACATAACACACTACCCTAGAACTTAATGGCTTAAAATAACTATCATGTATGATTTCTCATGATTTCATGAGTTTGCTGAGCTCATCTGGACCCACTGATGTGGCTGGTCCTTGGCAGCTAAGCTGGCATTAGAGGGGCTACACTGGCCTCTCTCATATCTGGGGCCTTGGTGCTGTTTATTGGATGGGACTCTCGCTCATCATTCAGTAGTCTTGTCTGGACATCCATACATGGTGGTGGGACCATTCCAAGGAGACAGAGACAGAGATCTAGATTCCTGAACATCACACTAAGGTATTCAAAGCAAGCCATAAGTCCAGTTCAGATTCAAGAGGTAAGGCAACAGGCTCCGTCTCTTGATAGGAGGAGGTGCAAAATATGTGGCCATGTTTTCCATCTGTCACAGCTGATAATCATAAATTTAATTGTTGAATTTACTGTCTAAGATTAACTTTTACCTGATGTGGAACTGTAAGCTGTTAATTTGGGGACTCTAACAATGTAATTTTAATCAGTATATGAGAAACAAAAATTTGATATGAAAAAAAATGTTAAGAAAAAGGGGAGTTATGTTTCAGAGATCTTGTATCCTCTGTGATGTAAAACAGATAAAGAAATGCAACAGTCTTTGTTACTTAGAATGTTTGCTTAATCATCATTTTCTGAGATTATTACCATTCATCATCATTGTGGGTTTTTTTCACATTACAAAATATAATAGAATGTAAAAGCAATTAATAGCTTCCCATAAATTAATTTATAATATGATAGCATATTTCCAGGACCTGTGATGATTACATTTGTATAAAATTTTACTTAATTTATCTGACAACTGTGTATATTGAGTGCCTGCTATGGGATTTACACTGTGCAGAGACTTGGGGTGTTGCTGAACCAAATAGATGAGGTTCCTGCATATTCCCATAACTAGATGGGAAAGTTCTCTAAAGAAGCTTTCTCAGTCAGAAGCTGAAGGATGAGTAGGAGTTAACTGAGGTAAGAGGGAAAGGGAATAGGAAGTCTTCCAAGGAAAAGAATGGCTGGCCAAGGCCTTGAAGATAAGCAAGTTCGAGGAACATTAAAAGAATTGAAAAAAAAAAAATTGATTATGGCTAAAGCCTAAAATGTGAAAGGGGTGAGGCAAGAAAGAAGCTGGAGAGGTAGAACCTGGATTTTATATCAAGGATCATGGGAACCATTTAGAGGTTTAAGAGGCTTTTTGCTCAGATGGTTTTAGAAAAGTCACTGATGCAGTTTGGTTAAGGTCTGTAGCTAGGATGAAGACAGGGTTGAGCTCAGGAGACCAGCAGTACAGCCCGTTGATACTGATATGGATTAAGTGGATGTGAGAATGAAGACAAGTATATAAATCCTACAGGAATTTAGGAGATGGAATCAACCAGATTTGGTGACTAGGTGTAGAGTAGAAGGAAGAACCCAAAGTTACTGTCTCAGGTTTCTGACTTGGAGTGCTGTTAACAAATAGGTAGCATAAATAGAGAAATAGGCTTGGGAAGGCATCCTTGGCAGGACGATATCCTAACTCTATTTCCAGGCTAACTACCTGGATATCTTGTTTGTATTTTCTAGTATTTGAAGTGACATTTCCACTTTCACTTAAAAAAATATTGATTCCTGTTCAGTGAAATGCAGTAAAATACAGCAGTGCTGCATAACTTGAATTTATATCTTGGATCCGAAAAAGATTTTACTTTGGCATTGATTCCTTAATAGATAGAAATTTAGTGCTCAATTGCTGTAGTGAATTTCATTAAGCAATTTGCTTACTGCTTAATGTTTTGAAATTACTTGAAGAGAATAATGACTAAGCAGCAATATATATAAAATTACATTTTGTGAATTCCTACCTTAAGCCCTGAGCCCTTCATTAATGAGTCTAAAAATAATTGTGTGATTAATATTTGTTCAGGTTTTTTAAGTGGAGTTTATTAATAAAAGAGTTTTTAAAAGTTGTTTCTCTTTTTTTATTGTCTTACAACTCTAGTAAGTAGAACATTAGCTTACATTTCTGCTAAGGAAGAAAAAATATGTAAGGTAGCTGCATGAACTTGAAACCTTTCCTTCGTGGATTTACCTCTCCTTTAAATGTCAAGCATGAGAATTAAGGTTTAAAAGAAGAATTAACTGTTGAGTCTTGGAAAGTTAAGCTTTCTTGATCACTAACATTTTAATCTTTGTAATTTTGAATTTCATAGCTATCTGTAGATTTTATTAAAATATATTTACTCATCCTATAGTATTATCCTACTCTGACCTAAGAATGTTAATTTGCCTCAAATTCTCTGATCACTCTAGATAGAATATATTCAATAGTGCTTCCCATGTGTTCTCTTTAAACTGAATTTCCTATTATTTTCAATATTTTTTAAATTTAAAAGTACTTTACAACCTATTTTTTTCTTTTTTCTTTCCTTAGGTACTACAAGGGCCCCCAGGGATGGGGAAGTACCAGGGGTGGACTATAATTTCATTTCTGTTGAACAGTTCAAAGCGCTGGAGGAGAGCGGAACATTGTTAGAAAGTGGAACATATGATGGTATGTCCCCAGATATTGACAACAGCAGCCCAGAAAACTGTCTGATTGGAATTATTTCAAATGGAATTTGATCAGTAAAATACCACTTTTTAAAAAAGTGTTTTCTATTAGTCTTTGAGAGGTTTTTCTTTTGATTAGGCTATTTGTAATTTACTAGTTAAGATGGGATTAAATGCATTCTGTGTTATTCTAAAGTTGATTGTAGACAGTATACTAAAATCATTAATGCTAGTTAGTTTGCAATATTTCATAATAATTCACATTCATTGTATTCACTCAAGCATTTGTGAGTTCTGTTTGTGGTTGGAAATAAAAATACTGTACCCTTTAAAAAATCTATTTATACTTTGGCTCTCTTGGAGAAAAGAGAGTATAGATTTGAAGAGAAAAATAATAAAAACAGAAAAATTGGTTTTCTTTTCATAACTGTTTTCTCTACTCACTTGATTCTAGGGAATACTGATTTAAGATCAATTTCAACTTTTGAATGAATCTTTGTTAAATCTTTTTTCTTTTCTTTTCTTTATCTAACAGTTCTTCACTGGCAAACTTGTGCACTCCAATAGTACCCTGTATTTCTCCATCATTGCTCTATCATGCTATTATAATTGCCTTTTTCACAAGCTCTGTGAAAGCAGATGTCATGTCTTTCTTAATATTATCTTCAGTTCCTAGAGATAGCGTTCAATAAGTATCTGATCATGAATTCATCATATCCAAATACGCATTTGTGCTATCGAAGAGAGTAAGTCTTCATAATTTCTCTTTTTAGCTTTAGCAAGAGCTCAAGACAGAGGAGTCTTCACTTACTTCCTTCTTTTTCTCAGCAGTTTCCTCTAGTCTGTTACCAATCGAGTCTTTTCTTCCTTTGTAGCATCGTTCACACTGCCTTTCTTTATACTTTCATCGCCTCATTGTAGGCTCTCTGGACTGACTTGTGCTGGCTATGATGGTTGATCTCGTATATTCCGATTTCTTCCCTCTCATCAGTCCACCCCGCTCATTGCTACCATACTAGTCTTCCATGTCAAGTATAGTTCTGGTCATTTCTCTTTCCTTCAGACTCTTCAATGATTTCCTCTTGCCTGCTGCGTTTGACCTAGCCACTCTTTCTGAGATTAGCATCCATGACTCATTCATTCAGGTATTGTTTATTTGATCCTTCTTTCATACTATGTGCCAAGCACTACCAGAGGGACTAGAGATGCCTGTGCTGAGCAACACTGAAATGATACTGCCTTCATCAATCCTATATCTTAGTGGGGAAGGCAGTCAGAACATAAACAAGATAACTAAATTGAGATGTTATGAAGGAAACAAAAGCAAGGGATTTTAAAGAAAATAATAGGAATGTCTAATTTAGATAAGATGGCCAGTTTAGATTTCTCAGAGAAAATGACAGCTGTTTATTTTTTATTTTTGTGCAAATTGCCTTCTCTCATTCACCTCCCTCTTATAGGCAACCATTCTGATGTGTTTAATATATATGCTTTGGTTTATATGCGATCTTGCAAAATATGTATTGTGTCTTGTGTATATGTATTTATTATTTACATCTGGACCATGTTCTGTATCTTACTAGTTTTAAACTGTTTTCACTTATTACTGTGTTTTTTAGATTCATCTACATTGCTGTACTGTAAATGTATGTAATTCACTGTTTTGTAACCATTGCATAGTACTACATATTGTGAATCCATTACCTAACCTTTCTCCTATTGACGGACTTCCAGTTTGCCTCCAACTCCTCATCACCACAGATCAATCTGCAGCATCCTCATACATGTCTTCTTACAAACCTGTGTGAGAATGTCTGTGGCATATATATCCAAGAGCAGAATTGTTGAGTTATAAGGTAAACACATAGTTAATATGATGAAGTTGTTTTGGGTAGCTCTGCAGTCTTTACTCCCCAAGCAGTGCTATGGGAAGTTGTAGTGACTTTAGTAATGATTCCACGTCCTTATCAACACTTGGCACCATCCAGCTTTGTAATTTTGCCAGTCTGATGGTTATAGAAGCGGTGTCTCACTTTAACTTTAGTTTCTCTGATAGTCAGAGAGTTTGAGCATCTTTTCATATGCTTGTTTTTTGAACTTCTGCAAATTGTCTATTCATTTGCTTTGTCCATTTTATTTTCAAACTGGGATCTCAATTACATTTCCGTTTGTAAATATTTATATTAGATAGTAATCTCTTATTGGATATTGATATTTTCTCCCATTCTGTCACCTAATAACCTTGTTCTGTGTTTCATCATTAAACCAAAATCCTTAACTTTTGTCAGTCAGAGTTAGCACTGTTTTCCTTACGATTGGTGCTTTGAAATTTCATTTAAGAAGTCGTTCTCTTAAATGACTTAAAAAGATATTCTCCTATGTTTTCTTCTGTTAAGAACATGGTATATGACAAAGTGGCATTTTCCATATTATTAATTACTATGTGCTCAATTAAGAGGAAAAGCAAATTGAAATAAGTTACCCACCATTCCACACCCATCAGATTGATAGAAATTTTAAAGTCTGATAATTGTGGTAAATGGAAATCCGCATACACAACTGGCAAGGATATAAAATGATATAACAATCCCTTTGGAGAGCATCTTGGCAATAGCTAGTAAATTCAAAGATGCACCTAACTCTGACCCAGCAGTTCCCTCTGTGGTTGCCTTCTCTAGAAAAACCCCGTCAATGTGGATATGCAGACAAGTACCTGAACAGTTATTATTAATTCAGTTCAGTCACTCAGTCGTGTCCAACTCTTTGCGACCCCATGGACTGCAGCACGCCAGGCTTCCCTGTCCATCACCAACTCCCAGAGCTTGTTCAAACTCATGTCCATCGAGTCGGACATGCCATCCAACCATCTCATTCTCTGTCACCCCTTTCTTCTCCTGCCTTCAGTCTTTCCCAGCATCAGGGTCTTTTCCAATGAGTCAGCTCTTTGCAGCAGGTGGCCAAGGTATTGGAGTTTCAGCTTCAGCATCAGTCCTTCCAATGAATATTCAGGACTGATCTCCTTTAGGATGGACTGGTCTGATCTCCTTGCAGTTCAGGGGACTCTCAAGAGTCTTCTCCAACACCACACTTCAAAAGCATCAATTCTTTGGTGCTCAGCTTTCTTTATAGTCCAACTCTCATATCCATACGTGACTAATTGAAAAACAATAGTTTTGACTAGACAAACCTTTGTTGGCAAAGTAATGTCTCTGCTTTTCAATATGCTATCTAGGTTGGTCATAGCTTTTCTTCCAAGGAGCAAGTGCCTTTTAATTTCATGACTGCAGTCACCATCTGCAATGATCTTGGAGCCCCCCAAAATAAAGTCTGTCACTGTTTCCATTGTTTACCCATCTATTTGCCATGAAGTGATGGGACAGGATGCCATGATCTTAGTTTTTTGAATGTTGAGTTTTAAACCAACTTTTTCACTTTCATCAAGAAGCACTTTTGTTCCTCTTTGCTTTCTGCAATAAGGATGGTGTCATCTGAGTATCTGAGGTTATTGATATTTCTCTGGGCAGTCTTGATTCCAGCTTGTGCTTCATCCAGCCTGGCATTTTGCATAAGGTACTCTGCACATAAGTTTAATAAGCAGGGTGATAATATACATCCTTGACGTACTCCTTTCCCAATTTGGAGCCAGTCCATTGTTCCATGTCCAGTTCTAACTGTTGCTTCTTGACCTGCATACAGATTTCTCAGGAGGCAGGTAAGGTGGTCTGGTATTCCCATCTTTTTAAGAATTTTCCACAGTTTGTTGTGATCCATAGTCAAAGACTTTAGCATAGTCAGTAAAGCAGGCATAGATGTTTTTCTGGAACTCTCTTGCTTTTTCTATGATCCAACAGATGTTGGCAATTTGATCTGTGATTTCCCTGCCTTTTCTGAATCCAGCTTGAACATTTGGAAGTTCTTGGCCCACATACTGCTGAAGCCTCACTTGGAGAATTTTGAGCATTACCTTGCTAGCATATGAGATGAGTGCAATTGTGCGTTAGTTTGAGCATTCTTTGGCATTGCCTTTCTTTGGGATTGGATTGAAAACTGACCTTTTCCAGTCTTGAGGCCACTGCTGAGTTTTCCAAATTTGCTTTCACATTGAGTGCAGCACTTTCACAGCATCGTCTTTTAGTATTTGAAATAGCTCAGCTAGAATTCCGTCACCTCCACTAGCTTTGTTCGTAGTGATGTTTCCAAAAGCCCACTTGACTTCACACTCCAGGATGTCTGTCTCTAGGTGAGTGATCACACCCTCATGGTTATCTGGGTCATGAAGATCTTTTTTGTATAGTTCAGTTCTTCTGTGTATTCTTGCCACCTCTTCTTAATATCTTCTGTTTCTGTTAGGTCCATACCATTTCAGTCCTTTATTGTGCCCATCTTTGCATGAAATGTTCTCTTTGTATCTCTGATTTTCTTGAAGACATCTCTAGTCTTTCTCATTCTATTGTTTTCCTCTATTTATTTGCATTGATCTGAGGAAGGCTTTCTTATCTCTCCTTCCTATTCTTTGAAACTCTGCAGTCAGATGGGTATATCTTTCCTTTTCTCCTTTGCTTTTAGCTTCTCTTCTTTTCTCAGCTATTTGTAAGGCTTCCTCAGCAACCATTTTGCCTTTTTGCATTTCTTTTTCTTGGGGATTATCTTAATCACTCCCTCTTGTACAAAGTCATGAACCTCTGTCCATAGTTCTTCAGGCACTCGCTGTCTATCAGATCTAATCCCTTGAATCTATTTGTCAGTTCCACTGTATAATTGTAAGGGTTTTGATTTAGGTCATGCCTGAATGGTCTAGTGGGTTTCCTTACTTTCTTCAATAAGTCTGATTTTTGCAGTAAGCAGTTCATGATCTGAGCCACAGTCAGCTCCTAGTCTTATTTTTGCTGACTGTATAGAGCTTCTCCATCTTTAGCTGCAAAGAATATAATCAATCTGATTTCAGTATTGACCATCTGGTGATGTCCATGTGTAGTCTTCTCTTGTGTTGGAAGAGGGTGTTTGCTATGACCAGTGCATTCTCTTGGCAAAACTCTGTTAGCCTTTGCCCTGCTTCATTTTGTACTCCAAGGGCAAATTTGCCTGTTACTCTAGGTATCTCTTGACTTCCCACTTTTGCATTCCAGTCCCCTGTGACGAAAAGGACATCTTTTTTGGTGTTAGTTCTAGAAGATCTTGTAGGTCTTCATAGAATAGTCATAGCATTATTTGAAACAATAAGGGAATGAAAGTGACTTTTATTAAAGGAATTAATAAAGTTTATTTTAATTTGTTTATAAAAATGGAATGTTATATAATAGATGATTAGAATCTACATGTATCTATAGGAATAAGTCTTAGAAATACAGTTGTATAAAAATAATGTTACAAAAGGATATGGACAGCATACTGTTTAGAAAAAAGATATGAAATGTTATAAACACTCATGAAGCTTTTGTTAAAACAGTAGTATTTATATGTTATGCTTCCGTTGTGGCTCAGATGGTAAAGAATCTGCCCACAATGCAGGAGCCCTGGGTTCGATCCCTGTTTTGGGACGATCCCCTGGAGGAGGGCATGGCAACCCACTCCAATATTCTTGCCTGGAGAATCCCATGGACAGAGGAACCTGGCAGGCTACAGTCCATGGTGTCACAAAGAGTTGGACACGACTGAGCGACTAAGTACATTTATATGTTATATATGCATATACATGTGTCCCAGATGTATATAACATGCCAGGAAATGACATATACCAACACTCAGATAACTCAGGGAGAGAATGGGAAGAACAGACAGGAAATTAGGACTTGAGTTATATATGACTGAATATGTATATCATTAAGGAAGGGAAAAGGGAAGACCTGAAAGGAATCTGGCACCAAGTTAGTATCTGGGTATGTGTAAAGAAATTTCTAACTAGTCTAACATTGTTGTCCATGATTTTATATGGGTTTAAAATAGTTAATGGTTGGTCTATTGTAAAAATGAAAACACTTCAGAAAAGAAAAAAAGAGAAAAAAGGAAAAGTTCCAAAGTAGCTTCAAAAAGATGAAAAAGCTTTTTTGTGAATAACTGTTGTTGGGGTTCACAAACTTCATAATCCTATACCTTTCAGCATCTGACATCTTAGGATTTACCAACAACTCAAGAAAAATAGATCTAATTTACTTATAAGCAATGTTAGCTTTCTTTTTTTCATCTAGTGAAAGTGAAGTTGCTCAGTCCTTAGAATTTTCCAGGCAAGAATACTAGAGTGGGTAGCCATTTCCTTCTCCAGGGGATCTTCCTGATCATCTAAGCCAATAATTTTTTAAAATAGGGCAACTGCCAGAATTTATCATGAAGTTATAAATTCTTGTCAGTGATTATGGTTATAGCAACCATATCCTGAATTTTTTCATAGTTTTTGTTCTAGAAAAAAGTTAGAATTAGATAAGAATTACTAACAATACGCAGCAATAATGTGTTTTAATATTTCCTATAAAACTACCATCCTTAGAAAAGTGGGGGGAAGAAAATGGACTTTCAGCTTTCTCATGGTACATCCAGATTCCTTGGTAGTGTGACTGTTGGACATAATGAAGGGAAAAATGAGATCCTAGGGCATCCTATTCCCCAACCAAACCTCTGTTTGAAGCATTTCTGTACCTTCTGTCCCAGAGAAGTGTGAACTGGCTTTTTTCATTTTTCCTTGCTTTACTTATGGGCCAAAAGTTTACGGAGCTCCTTAGATGGCAACCCTTTCCAGTACTCTTGCCTGGAAAATCCCATGGATGGAGGAGCCTGGTGAGCTACAGTCAGTCCATGGGGTCACAATGAGCGACTTCACTTTCACTTTAGTCTGTTTTACTATTACTCTTTGCGTACATTTGCATATTAGGATTAACTCCATTTCAAACCTAGATTTGGAAGCCAAGGAGTAGTTGAGTGGAGAGAAGGAAGATATGGTTGTTTGATTGATTTTAGTTTGATTAATTGATGTTAGTTTGATTTCATTGTTTTGTCTTGAGCATCTTAATGACAATTCACACACACAGTCAAATTTCCGAAGAAGTTATCTTAATACTTTCCCCCTCAAAGCATGCATGACAAGGTAAACTTTCTTTGTTGATTTGCCTCTGTGGTTCCTTGCTAGCTCAGTTGGTAAAGAATCCACCTGCAATGCAGGAGACCCGAGTTTGATTCCTGGGTTAGGAAGATCTGCTGCCCACTCCGGTATTCTTAGGCTTCGCTTGTGGCTCAGATGGTAAAGAATCAGCCTGCAATGTGGGAGACCTTGGTTTGATCCCTGGGTTGGGAAGATCCCTGGAGAAGGGAAAGGCTACCCACTCGAGTATTTTGGCCTGGAGAATTCCATGGACTATATAGTCCATGGGGTCACAGAGTCAGACACGACTGAGTGACTTTCACTTTGCCTCTGTGATATGGTGAATAACTTTTTATGCTTTTGTTTCATCTCAGAAAAATAATCCATTTTATACTCTGTTAATTTACCTTATATGAATAAGCATCTCCTTAGGAGGCAAGGAATTTGGAGATTTTTTTTTTAAATAAAAGAAGAGCATGAATATTTTACTCCGTGTCCTTGTTTATCTTTCTGTGACATCAGCAGAGTGGTTGATATAAGGTCAGAGCTAGCAGGAGCCACAAACTGCTAACATAGCTAGACTCACTGAACAATTTCTATCATATGTGGCTGCCTACTGGGGACTACATTGCAAACTGAGAAGATATTCAGTTGTTCTCATTCTATTCTGGAATGTTCATTGTTACTGCAAAAATTACTGATTCTCAAGACAACATATTAAAGTATTTCTTGCTTTCCTGAGAGTAAGCAAATATTGAATTATGCTAATAAAGTTTCTCTTTGTTCAATAAGTTGTCAGATAAAACAATATAATTAAAACGCTCAGAAAATATTTTAGAAATTATGTTTACATAAGCAGCCTACATTTCAGAACAGACTGGTAGGTGCTTAGCTGTATCCTTTGCCTGCGTATTTCCTTATTTTACTGAAATAACTCATGTTACATATCAGAACAAAATTATTTGAGTTAGTTTTCTCCTCCTTTTCTCCCACTTTTTATGCCAATTAGTCTTACACAAGAGCATTGATGCATTTAACTTCACAAATTAGGCCCTAATATAAAACCCGTGCAAAGCAAGCCCTGTAGGAATAAATAACCTACATATGTAAAGTCAACTTCCTGGCCTTAGTACAAATAGTCTTAAAGTGTTAGATAAGGTTAGGTAATATATGGTGATGAGCCCTTGAGAAATTAGTTCTTTCTGGTCTATCTCTTCCTCTCCCAAGAAAAAGTGCTTTCACCTCCGTTTGGCCAATGGTGGGTGTTCAGAAATTTCAGTATAAGATAAGAGGGCAGAGACACAGTAAGCCATATTGTTCTAACTCTCAATTCAACATTCAGTGCTTTCAGCTGCTGTTATTTGTCTTCAGGAAACTTCTATGGAACTCCCAAGCCTCCAGCAGAGCCCAGCCCTTTCCAGGCAGATCCAGTTGATCAGGTCCTCTTTGATAATGAATTTGACGCAGAGTCCCAGAGAAAACGGACTACATCTGTCAGCAAGATGGAAAGAATGGACAGCTCCCTTCCTGAAGAGGAAGAAGATGAAGACAAGGAAACTGTTAACGGCAGTGGAAATGCAGGTTTGTAAATAGATGAACAACTTCTGGCTGTTACTCTTGGTTAACTTTAATGTGACACTGAATTGGAAATAGTAAAAATTTCCCCAAAGCATAGGAACAGCAAGTGATGGGATTTTAAGTTCTTTTTAAAGTTTTGTGTGAGATCATGTATCTCTGTTGACCATTTTGTAAGCTGAAGTTAGTTGCCCCAAGTGGCAGTTTGGGTAAATCAGTTATAAACTATTATTAGTACTAATATATTCCATTACTCTGCTGCTTAAAAGATTTGAGATTCATTTCTGATACTTGAATATGGAAATCTTGTTGACCTAAGTCCTACTTTACAGAATTTGTGCAAAATATAGATGTTTTAAGATATAGCCTTCAACGAAAACAAAGATTTAGGAATATGCTGATAAAAGTTATCTGAAACATTTGTTAGTAATATTTTGAGTTTAAATTCTGAGTCACTCAAAGAAAATTTCCAAATTTGACTGTTATATTTTTTCATTAAATGCCAAACCAATATAAATTTAATGATAGAGAATCTCTGCTTTTGAGTATCCCTAAGTAACATAGTGATTCCTTAGAAGATTTTTATACTTCTCATGAATCACAGCAGAACTGATTTCAATGCTATTTATTGTAATAATTTCATTCAAAACTCTAGAATAGAAGCTTCATAAGGGTTGAAGTTTTGCTTCTTTTGTTCATTGTTGTACTCCTTAAACCATAAACCATGCTTGGCATATAGTAGAAGCTAAAAACATGTAATGGTGGCTCAGATGGTAAAGAATCCACTTGGAGTGTCAGAAACCTGGGTTCAATCTTTTGGTCAGGAAGATCCCCTAGAGAAGGAAATGGTAATCCACTCCAGTATTCTTGCCTGGAGATTTCCATGGACAGAGGAGCCTGGCAGGCTACAGCAAAGAGTCAGATACAACTAAGTGAGTTTCACAATCACCAATAAATGAAAGCATTTGATTATAACTCCAAATTTGCAGAATCTATTACCATATCATTTTCCCAAAGCATTCTGATTTTTTCCTTTATCAGTTATTAAAACTTGCTATTATCTATCCTTGTATTACATTCATTGCTTGTGCCCCCCTCCAGAGGGCGAGTTCTGTTTTACGGTCATAACATCTTACATTGTTATGTCACGTATATGCTCAATGAATTACAGCAATATATTTTGCTGAAAACAGGTCTAAAAATATTTAGGTGAATTTACATCTAACTCTTTAGGGGTTGTTAAGGGAAATCATCATATCCTAGAGTCTTATGATGTTGATGTCAACTTTGCTTTCCCACAAATTTACATCTGTTGACATTTTTCAATGTTTAAGACATGGAATTAGAAACCATAACTCTGTCCCCAAATGGGAGTTATATGTTCTTAATTTGAAGGAAAAGAAAATGCCTTCTTTTTTTTTTTTGAACTTCCTAATGCAGAGCCTCTCAGTGAGCCCTGCAGTTCCCTTAGGGGTACACCTATCTGCGAGCTCCGTAGTTTATGCTTGTCATGTAAGACAGTTGTTAAACCAGATGTTGCAGTCTCTTTGATATTAATATTTAAAGGAAATGTATCCAAGAGGGTGTGGGAGGAAGTTTGTATTCTATCTCTTGTGTGTGGGTACCATAGGACTCTTCCACATATATTTCTTTGTAACAGAAACTATTCAGACTATTTTAAGGAAAAGTAAATACAAGACATGGCGGAAAGCCCTTGGTCTTTTCTGAGTAAGTACTAGCCACAGTTGTTAACTTATTTAAAGTTGCTTTCTGTATTGCTTTGGGGGACTAGAATTCCTATCTTGAAAGATCAGAAAATTGTTGGGGATGGAAGCAGGAGAGGCTAGATGGACGTTTATTTGTATATACAAGTATGTATATTATTTTATATCTTGTTGAGAATTAACATAAGAATGCTAATATATCCCAATAGGATGACATATATTATATAATAATGCTAAAATTTTTTCAAAGAGTTGGTGTTATATGAACAACATTTTCAAATCATTGGCTATTAAGTGAACTTCTTTATGCAGTCTTTTGAAATTGTATTCAGAAAAGTATTATTGCTCGTATAGTTGCTTCCACTTTTCTCTAGTGTATATGTATCCCAAGAATGTAACTCCCTTCCAGATTGAGTTATACATTGTGTACCTTTTAATTTCTGTCACTTTCTCTATATAGAGAATAAATCATATGTTTTATTCAGATTATTCAGTCAACAAATATTTGTTGAGCACCTGGTAGACTACTAAGTGCTAGGCATTGTTCTAAAAGCTGGAAATAAGTGAACAGAACAGACAAAATCCCCTGCCTTCCTGAACCTTAACTTTTGGTGGGAGAGATAGAATTATCCAACATAAATGAATAACATATAGTAAGTTAGATAGTGCTAAAGAGAAAAAGCCGAGGAGGGGAAGGATAAAAACTAGTGGTGGCCAAAGTTGCAATTTTAGATAGAGTATCAGAGAAGACATCACCAAGAAGAGGATGTTGAAAGAAGTGTGAGAGGGAGCTCAAAATATCCTGAGGAAGAACATTCCAGCCAGAGGGAATTATACTGTACAAACGCCCTGAGGTAGGAGCATCCCTGGATTATTCAGACAAGAGCAAGGAAACCAACGTGGTTGGATACAATGTAGACAATACATTATATGTGGTTGGGGCAGAGTCCTGAAAGGGAATAGACTATAATAGTAACCATGAGGTCAGTTAAATAATGATGGGGGTGGGAGTAATGGAAATGCATATTATACAGGATCTTATAGGTCACTGGAAGAATTTTTGTTTTTTATTCCGAGATGAGAAACCATCATGGTATTAAGTAGAAAAGTACCATGATAAAACAGGTTTTAACTTAACAGGCTCATTCTGGCTGCTGTGTGGGGAAAAGGGAGTAGGAAGGCATGGGCATATACCAGGGTGTTAGTTAGGAGGATACTGCAGTAACTTAAGTGAAAAATGATGGCTTATACTCAACTTACATTCAGGGCTTCCCTGATAGCTCAGCTGGTAAAAGAATCTGCCTGAAATGCAGGAGACCTGGGTTCGATCCCTGGGTTGAAAAGATCCCCTGGAGAAGGGAACAGCTACCCACTCCATTGGAGAATTCCTTGGACTATACAGTCCATGGGGTCGCAAAGAGTCAGACACGACTGAGTGACTTTCTCTATACTCAATGAAAGCATGAGAGGTAAGAAGTGGATTGCTGCTGCTGCTGCTAAGTCGCTTCAGTCATGTCCGACTCTGTGTGACCCCATAGACAGCAGGCTCCCAGTCCCTGGGATTCTCCAGGCAAGAATACTAGAGTGGGTTGCCATTTCCTTCTACAGTGTATGAAAGTGAAAAGTGAAAGTGGAGTTGCTCAGTTGTGTCCGACTCTTAGCAACCCCATGGACTTCAGCCTACCAGGCACCTCCATCTGTGGGATTTTCCAGGCAAGAGTACTAGAGTGGGTTGGCATTGCCTTCTGCAAGAAGTGGATTGAGTCAGTAACATTTGCCAACAGACTGGATATCAGGTATGAGAGAGCAGTCAGAATAGTCTCAGAGGGAGAGCAGTGAGTGGTCCTGAAGAGAGATCTTAGTTCCCTGCCCAGGAATTAAACCTGGGTAACCTGGATGAAAACTTGGAATCTTCACCACCAGACCACCAGGGGCTAGAGGCTAGAAGCAAAGAGGCCCTTGGCTCTTGCCCTTCTTGGAAAACAAGAATGTGTCAAGGAGGCAAAACCTGTAAAAAAACAGGTACAGAGTTTATTATTAGAGACATAGCACAATGTGTGTGAGAGCACACAGAAAAACAGTTTATTTAACACAGAAATAAGGCAGAAATACACATCCAGAGAGAAAGGCTATCAGTATCCTGAGTGAGGAGCCCAGTAAATCAGAAACTAGGCAGAGACACGCCCCTTGAGAGGGATGTGGGCATCCTGGCTGAGGAGGAGCACCGTGAAGAGGTGACTTACATCCCTTTTATAGGGCAGTTCTTCCGGATCTTTGTTTCTATTTGGCCAATTAACTTGTTTATTTCTTCACACCTGTCTGGTCCGTGGACCCTTCCCAAGATGCATTTTTGCTGAGATGGATCCCACCACAGAAGCCTATGGGTGCACGTCTATACTTATTATGGGGTGGGGCCGCCTCCCTTTTCGGCCCCCAAGAAGGCTTCCTTGCATGTGCAGACAGGGAAGTCTTCCTTGATCTCAGAAGTGGTTTTACTCCTCTTGACCAGCACCAGGTGTCTGGCCCGGAGGCCCACTGTCTCCTACCTCAAAAGGCCCCTCCAACGGTTTTAACTTGAGTATTTGAAAGAATGGAGTTGCATCTTTTGAGATGAGAGGTTTTAAGAGGAGTCAGTTTGCATTGGGAAAGGGAGCTGTGGTTGGGATATTTAAATTTGAGACGTTCATTAGACTTCCAAATGGAAATGTCTTGTTTAAAATTGGATTTAAAAGTCAGTGTTCTGGTCTGAAAATACGTATTTGGACACCATTAGCATATAGCTTGTATAACAGTGACACTGAGGGAGATCACCAAGACAGTAAGTGTAGAAAGAGAAAAGGTCCAAGGACTGGACCCTGAGAAATCACTCTAATATACAGATATCAAGGAGACTGAGAAGAGCCAGTGAGATAGAAGGAACACCAGGAGAGTGTCACGTCCTGGATGCCAGGAGAAGAGAATGTTCCAAGAAAGAGTGATCCGTCATGTCAGATGCTACTGATAGCTCAAGCTAGATGGGCACTGAGATTTGATCATTGGATATAGCTATGTAGAGATAAGTGGTGATCTTGATAAGAGCAGTTTTATTGACCAGAGATCAAAAGCCTTGTTGGAGTGAGTTCCGGAGGCAAATGGAAGAGTGAAAGTGGAGGTAGCAAGTATAAACTCTTTCAAGGAGTTTTGGTGTAAAAAGGAGAGAAATGGAATGGGGTTGCTGGGAAGCAGGGAAAGAATTGTTTAGTTACCTTTCATAGAATGGAGAAATACCTTGTTTTTATGTGGATGAATATGGTCTACTAGATAAGAAAGATTGGTGATATATGAGGGAGGGAGAATGAACTGCTGTAGGCAAGAGGGCATGAGGATATCTGCCAGAAACACAGAGTTCTTTCATAGTAACAGAAGTTAAAGTAAAATGGGCACAGTTACTATGTAGATATATGTGATGGTGGGAATTTGTAGAAGTTCTCTTCCTCTTGTATTTTCTCAGTGAAATAGGAAACAGGGTCACCAAATGAAATTTGGGATAAGGCAGAAGATTTAAGAAAGAAGATATGAAAGTTATCTAGGAGAGTCAGAGTGAATGGACTAAAGAAATGTCCTATGGTTGTTATACATCATTAAATGCCCTCTTGAAGTTAGTAATCGTGAGTTAAAAGTGAACTAGTTAGTATCACCTGCATTCATCTACATATACTGGTGAAAAGTAGGTGGAGAGTAAAATTTAAATAGAATTATAGTTAAGTCAAGCAACATGATAAAAGTAAGGTAGGGCAAAAGGCCTCAGGAGTTTTTTTTTTTACAAGGGAGCAGTTATAATGGTAGATCATCAGTTTAAGTTGGGTAAGGAGGGCAAGGATGGGGCTGAGAAACAGGGAAGGGTAGTAAGTAGTCAGATTAAGGCTTTATAGATCTTGGTTGAATAAAGGATGCTTGGAGTGGAAGTACTATAAGGATGGCACATAATGAGATCTAGGGCCTCTTCTAAGGATCTCTGATTCTGAGGCATTGCCTGCAGTGTGGAATTATTACAGTTATATTATCTTTTAAGTTCTAGAAACAAGTTTTAAGTACATAAATTGTGAACTCTCCCTGGAGAGTAACCAAAATTTTAGTATTCTTACCTACATTGTGAACTTTGGGACTCTCAAAGGATTTTAATATCACCAATAGGCAATTAAATTCAACAACAGGAAGTCTATTGAGTTTAATATTTAAAAACTAGTATTATTTTAAAGGCCTGTATTAAATGTGCACAAGGCAGTTTGATACATACAGCAGGTAAGGCTGTGGGCTATTTAAATTCAAATCCTGGCTTTGCTGTTTATTAGCTGTGTAACCTAAATTAACTTAACTTTAATGGGCCTTAGTTTCTTCATCTTGAAATGGCTGTAGTGATAATATATATTCACAGGTTTACTATGAGGATTATGAGTTAATATATATAAAGCAGTTAAAATAGAGCCTGACACATGAATGGTAAAGGTGCTGCTACAGCTATTATTGTTGGTATAATTTTTGTTGTTGTTATTTTTTAGTTTTGTTATTTTTTTCTTTTTGTTAGTGTAATACTTACTGATACCTTTATTTATGTATTATATTGACATAATATTTATATATTTAGTATATACAGAATTGATTCTAGTATTGTTTTTTGCTTCTTTCCCAGACTAGCTTCAGAGGTGTGAACAGAGTTAATGTCACTTGCAAATGAAAAAAAAAAATCAATATATTTGTTTTTTCAACAGTTATAGCAGAATATGGACGTAGCAGACACAGAAATTTGCAGTGTATATTTGGGCATTTTGTTAGAAATAGGTCTATTTGAAGAGAGTGTAACTTCTATCTCCTTTTCACACTCTTCTGTTTGAATAGCAGAAAATAGAGAGAGGCATTCTGAGCCATCTGATTGGATAAAGACCGTCCCAAGTTACAACCAAACAAACAGTTCCATGGACTTTAGAAATTACATGATGCGAGATGAAAATCTGGAACCACTGCCCAAAAACTGGGAAATGGCCTACACTGATACAGGGATGATCTACTTCATTGAGTAAGCAAATGTTTGTATCTTTTCTAATGTGCCCTATCACTGTGTGACTTGCCTGTAAATTTTTGTAACCTAATTTTACAAGACTTCCATTTCTTTTTTCTTTCTTTAAAAATATTTTTCATACAAATTACAGTTGATTCTTAATCTATTTCCCTGGATGATATTTCATTTTTATTTGATATGGATAAAGGAATAATGTGTTTGATGTCTAGTTTTATGGAAGACAGGAGAATTAAAAACAGATTTATCACTAATAATGAAAGTGCGGAATAAAGAGTATTTTGCTTTGCGTTTTTTTTTTTTAAACCTTTTGGATGGATTGTCCACCTTAATGAGCATTTCACAAATTATCATCGTTTGGAAGGAGGGCATGTTTATTATCTTAGCTAAATATTTTCAGACCTAGACGTTGAGTTAGATGTATTCAGGTGATATAGTTAAATAATATAGGAGGAAAATATCACTGATCCTCAGAGCAATTGGTACAATATAAATTCACAAAAAACAAAACTATTCTATGAAAAAGCATTATTAATATAAGTATAAATACATTTTTTGGTTTATAAGATAACCATATGTATTTGATAAATCTAAGATTTTATATTTGTACCTGAGAACAAATATTATACAAATAATTATGCAAATATACAATATGAAGTATTTTTATGTTGCCATGCAGATATAATTCTCTTTAAAGTTCTTTGCCCAGAGGTAGAATATGAATGTAGTAAGTTAATAGACTATAATAGTTAAATAACAATTAAAATACTGGGGCTGAATTACACTCAAAAAATATGTATGTACTCAGAAAGGAATTAGAGATTGGAAACTTAAACCAGTTGACTAAATATGTTCCAAATTCCACAGCTTTCCCATACAGTGAGCATCATACTATACCAAGTGAGATTGTATTTTTTAAAAGATGTACATTTTATGTACAGTGTTTTTTTTTTTTTTACCATATGTGGTACTTTATTGATTACATTGCACATTTATATAGGCATTAATGACCAGGATTATACAAAAATGGACAAACTTGGGTACGCTCTTCTCTGTGGACAATTTAAGGTTTTTTTTTTTTAAGGGTAATTTAGATTTTTGACTTTCATGTTAACTTTAGAACTAAACCCCCAAGTACAATGTAGAGTCACTAATTAAAAGAGGCTAAGATCTTTAGAAGCACATTATGAGATATTGAATCTGACAGTACTTCATCCTGCAAACAGAGGTAAGTTAGTACTTTCTGGGGGCAGAGGGGAGAATTTATAAAAGAAATGTTTTTATCAGTAATCATTATTAAAATGTACTAAAGGCCTCAATGTAAGATCTGAAGCAATAGAAGATGTAGGGGAAAAGCTTCATGACACTGAATTTGGCAAGGCCTTCTTGGACATGATACCAGAGCACAGGCAACAAAAGCAAAAATAGACACGTGGAACTATTTCAAACTTTTTAAACTTCTGTGCAGCAAAAGAAAGCAATCAACAGAGTGAAAAAGCTGCCTATGAGATAGAAAATATTTGCACACCATATATCTGATAAAGGGTTAATATCTAGAATATATTTGAATATTATGTGCTGCTAGATAAAACTCTCTTGTTTGCTGTAGCTAATGTGATTGGTCTGTGTTACTGTTGCTATTAAATCATGAATTTGCAAAAAGAGACTATTAATAAAGGTCTATAGTCTTTAGGTATCTTGTTTTGAGTATAACAGACCCCATGAGTATTTCTTTACTTTGGGGAATAATGAGTAAAATCCTAGCAGATCACTTCCATCTGCTGATTTAGCAATACAAAGTTTGGGTCTTTGGAACCAAAGTTAAGCTTTTCTCAAGTAGCAATTTTGAAATTGGTTTAGCTAGATATGACCATCAATTTTTTTTTTCCCCTAACAATCTACATGCTCATAGGCAACTTTAGAGTCCTGATCATTTTCATTTTGCTTAAACTGATTTTACTGGTTTTGGTTTGGGGAAATTATCTCTTTGACAGAATGGGTAACACAGACAATCCTGATTTCTCTTACTTAGATTATCTATTATTCAGCATACAAAAAAAGTATTCCACAGTCTACCAACTAGTATCTGACCTGGCAATGTGTAGGAAGTGATTGCATAGCTAGCTCAGGAGTTAAAAAAAAGTATAGGAGGTGTGATTAATTCCTTGAAACCACTGGCTTCATCTCCTAAGAGTGGTCAACATAGAGATTAGTGAGTTAATCTCTCCTTTGATCACATTGTTGTTCTTCCTCTGCTTTGATGATAGCTTTAATTTGTATTTTATTGCCTTCCTATATATTTTCTTCCAGGATTTTTCTTTCTTTAATATCCTCATATTTTAGATACCTAAACTATAACTCTGTCTACTCAGCAGTGTTATAGCTTTGTTTTAGCATCAGTATTTACTGCATGGTGACCTGGGTCTGAAGCTAACTGATTGTGGCCTATAATGAAATGAAACAGACATTGCTCTTTGAAAGCATCTGTGCCCTACTTCAAAAGGGACGAGGAGGATCTTTCTGTTTTTTTTTTTTTTCCTGTTAAATATGTGGTCCAGACTGTTGAGAGGGCTTCCCTGATAGGTCAGTTGGTAAAGAATCTGCCTGCAAACAAGAGACCCTGGTTCAATTCCTAGGTCGGGAAGATCTGCTGGAGAAGGGACAGGCTACCCACTCCTGTATTCTTGGGCTTTGCTGGTGGCTCAGCTGGTAAAGAATCTGCCTGCTATGTGGGAGACCTGGGTTTGATCCCTGGGTTGGGAAGATCCCCTGGGGAAGGGAAAGGCTACCCGACTCCAGTATCCTGGCCTGGAAAATTCTATAGACTGTATAGTCCATGGGGTCACAAAGAGTCGGACATGACTGAGCAAATTTCCCTTTCACTGTTGAAAACTTAGTTTTGTAGAGTTGAGTTTTACTATACCCATGATTTTTACTTGCATGTTGCAGAAACAGATACTTTAAAACTTTTTACATTATTTCACTCTTTTATTTTTAGAGAGTCCCGGTGAAGGAAGAGGCTCTATCTGATTGTTCATCTCTTTATTCCCAATCCGCAACATAATGCCCACACATCACAGGCACCTAAGAAATACAGTGTTTTTTGGAAAGAGAAAGGAATTCAGCCAGCAAGAAAGCAAGGCTTTCAAGGGCAGCTTTTTGGCACAGCTTGGGGTCATATGCCCACCCTTTGAAACATTTTTGACTGCTTAGATAAACATCTGTTGTTACGCACTTAGCATTTTACCCTTCTTTGGAGCCTCATTCTCAGTTAGTCCCTCTAGCATCACCTTCCCTTTATGACTGTTTTGAAGTAATAGTCTGAGAACAACAGGACTATTGAATCAGAGATGTACAAATGAAGCCTAGAGGAGATAAATGTTCAGACATCATACACCTTCTATTCACTTTTTATCTTTGCTTTTGAAATACATTTCTCCCTCTTTACTTTACTGTTTCTAATTGAAATCTTTGTTCTACAGCCACAATACCAAGACAACCACCTGGTTGGATCCTCGTCTTTGTAAGAAAGCCAAAGCCCCTGAAGACTGTGAAGATGGAGGTAGAGATTTAGAAACCTTTTATGCTGTATTATTCTCTTTATCCCTTCTTGCTCTTCCTGCTTAGATAATGAATTTTCCAAAACTCTAAACAAACAACGGAGAAGGAAATGGCAACCCACTCCAGTACTCTTGCCTGGAAAATCCCACGGACGGCGCAGCCTGGTGGGCTGCCGTCTACGGGGTCGCATAGAGTCGGACACAACTGAAGCGATTTAGCAGCAGCAGCAGCAGACAAACTACAATGTGCATATGCCCATAAGCAGTGGGTAGATGTCAATCATTCTCAGCTGATTCTGGCCATTTTGTTATTGCATCTAATTTTGTGAGTCTTTGATTTTTGAGAAATATACGATTAAATCCTTTAAAGAAAATCTTGATTAAAAACAAATTTGCCATTTTTTAGACATTTGTTTTTAAAACAAACTTTAAAAATTCTAAATAAAAATTTTAGTAAGTTAGGTATGTTCTGAATCACAGAGTAACCTCATAATGCCTGCTACTCCCTCAAAAATATATTTAATTAAGTATCACTAAGTTAGATATGCCAGTATCTATAATCCTTAGCCATTTAGAGCAGCAATAGAAACTCAATGAGAGTTTCTAATATACTCTCCACACCACACACAAGAAAAATTATTTTTTCAATCTATGAAAAAAAATTTAAGCAGAATTTATACATTTTTTTTTTTAGCATGAGAGACTTTTTCTAGGAATAAGTAATTAGAAAATGAAATGTTTAAAATTCATTTGTAATTATATAAAAAAAGGATACCTTGGAGTAAATCTACTGAAGGATGTGCAAGTCCTCTACACTAAAAACTATAAAACGTCACTGAAATAAATCAATGAAGACCTAAAATAATTGATGCAATATACTATGTTTATTGATATACAATATAGATAGGATGACACATATTATTAATAATGATGTTCATCCTCCTTAAATTGATATCTAGGGTCTATACAATCCCAATCAAAATTCTAAAAGTGTTTCTAAGAAACTGACAAACTGATTCTAAAATATATATGAAAAGGCTTCTCTGGTGGCTTAGTGGTAAAGAATCTGCCTACCAATGCAGGAGACACAGGTTCAATCCCTAATCCTGGAAGATCCGATGTGCCACAGAGCAGCTAAGCCCATGCATCACAACTATTGAGCCTGTGCTCTAGAGACCAGAAGCTGAAACTACTGAAGCCCTCACATCCTGGAGACTGTGTTCTTCAAGAGGAACCACCACAATGAGACGCCTGCACATGGCAACTAGAGAGAAGCCCACTGTCCACAACTAGAGAAGAGCCTGTGCAGCAGCAAAGACCCAGCTCAGAGAAAAATAAATTTAAAAAATTAAGTTACTTAAAAAATATATATACATATATGTATATATATATATGGAAATAGTGTACAAAGGCTTTAGTTAGCCAAACAGTCTTGAAAAAGGACAAAGATAAAGGACTTAGGCTCCCAGGTTTGAAGGCTTACTATAAAAATACAGTAATCAAGAGTGTTATCTATCCACAGGATAGACAAATGGATCAGTGGAACAGGGTACGAGAATCCAGAAATAGATGCACACATATGTGATCTCTTAATTTGCAGCCTAAGTGCCAAGTCAGTTCAATGAGGTGAGGAAAGTCTCTAACAAATGGTGCTGAAACAACTGGCTATTCAGAAGGAGAAATGAACTTCAACTATACATTTACTGCATACACAAAAATTAATTTCAGATGGCTCAGTGATCTAGTCATGATAGCTAGAAGCCTAAAGCTTTAGAAGAAAATATAGGAGGGTATCTTTATGACTTTAAGATTAGCAAAGATGGAGAAAAACTATAACTGTTGCATATTGCTGGGCAGCATGTAAAGTAAGACAACTGCTTTGAAGAACAGTTTGGCAGCTTCTTGAAAGGTTAAATATAAATTTGCTATATCACCTAACATTTCCACTCCTAGATATCTATCCAAAAGAAATGAAAACGTATGTCCACACAAGCACTTGAATGTAAATTTTCATAGTAGCACTATTCCTAATAGCTAAAAAGTGGAAACAACTCAGTTGTCCATCAAACAATGAATGGAATATTATTCAGCAAGAAAAAGAAAGTAGATACTATGTATACTATGACATGAATGAACCTCAAAAAATGTTATGCCGAGTGAAAGAAACTAGACACAAAAGATTAGCTATTGCATGATTTCATTCATTTGAAATGTCTATAATAGGCAAATCTATAGAGCCAAAGCAGATCAGTGGTTGTCCAGGGCTAAGGAAGGGGATAGAGATTAATTGTAAATAGGACAAGGGATAGGCTTCCTGGATGGCACAGTGGTAAAGAATCTGCTTGCCAGTGCAGGAAACTCAAGAGACTCAGGTTCAATACCTGTGTCAGGAAGATCCCCTGGAGTAAGAAATGGCAACTTACTCCAATATTCTTGCCTGAAAAATTTCATGGACTCAGGAGCCTGGTGAGCTATAGTCCATGGGGTCGAAAAGAGTTGGATATGACTGAGCGACTGAGCATGCAGCACAAGCAGCCATATTGGGTCATGGAAATTTTCTAAAACGCGATTGTGGTAGATAGCGTGCAAAACTCAGTAAATTATTAGAGTCAATGAATGGTACATTGTTTAAAACAGAGGAGTTTTATATGATGTGTAAATTATACCTCAGTAAAGTTGCTTTTTAAAATGGCCAAAAAATTCGAACAGATGGTTTACAAAAGACAGAGAATAGCCAATAAGAACATGAAAAGGTATGTACATCAACTATACCTCAATTTAAAAAAAGCATTAAAAATGTGCTTATTAATCATCTATATGACTTATTCACACCCCCTAGAATGCTAAAGTCAAATACACTGACAGTACCAAACTTTGGTGAGATTGTAGAGCATGTGGATTTGTACATGTCGGTGGGGATGTAAAATTATGTAAACACTGGAGAAATTTTGGCAGTTTCCTATGAGGTGTTATATCAAGAAAAATGAAAACATAATATTCCCCCGAAGACTTCACCTGAATGATCTATGACAGCCTTATTCGTAATAGTTCCAACCTCAAAACATTCCAAATATTCAACAGGATAATGGATAAATAGTTTGTGGTTTATTCATGCAATGAGATACTCTCATCAATACAAAGAAAAAGCTGTCGATAACATTCAACAACATGAATGAACCTCAGAAACATGTTGAATGAAAGAAGCCAGATACAAAAGAATGGGTACTCAATTATCCATTATTTAAAGTGCAAGAACTTGAAAACTAATCTATGCTGATAGAAGTCAGGAAATGATGGGGAAGGAGGGGAGAATGGTGAATTGAAATAAATTCTCTGGAATGATGGACATCCTTTCCATCTTGTTTGGGATGATGGTTATATAGGCACCTGCAGTTGCCAAAGCTCATTCCTTGTACTTGAACAAGCACGTAAATTGATATTTTAATCATTGCATGAGCACTTAAGGTCTGTGCATTGTGGTGAATACAAATTATACCTCAAATAATTTTTTAAATAACTTTTTTTTTTCCATTTATTTGTATTAGTTGGAGGCTAATTACTTTACATCATTGCAGTGGTTTTTGTCATACATTGGAATGAATTAGCCATGGATTTACATGTATTCCCCATCCCGGTCCCCCCTCCCACCTCCCTCTCCACCCGATTCCTCTGGGTCTTCCCAGTTTCGCCAGGCCCGAGCACTTGTCTCATGCACCCAACCTGGGCTGGTGATCTGTTTCACCCTAGATAATATACATGTTAAATAACTTTTTATAACATACTTCCCTTGTCCTTCCCTAAGGCTTTTCACAGTAAGTTTCTTAAGGTGAAATCAGCCGTTGTGAAGGTGATCTAGAATATGTAATATTACAGAATTGGACTTTTTAAAGATTATGAATGTGGTATTAGTCTTTTCAGGATGTCTCTTTTGCCAGGCTCCATTCCTTTTCTTTTTCTAGGGCTTCCCTGGTGCCTTAGATGATGAAGAATCTGCCTGTAAGGCAGGAGACCCAGGTTTGATTCCTGGGTCAGAAAGATCCCCTGGAGAAGGGATTGGCAACCCACTCCAGTATTTTTACCTGGAGAATAACATGGACAGAAGAACCTGCTGCCTACAGTCCATTGGGTGGCAAAGAGTCAGACATGACTGAGCGACTAACCCTTTCATTCATTTTCCTACCAGCTGATTGTTTCAGTTCAGTTCTCTGCCTTTTCCTGTTTTCCCTTGTAGAATGTATTTATTTTCATAGCCTTAATTATCAACTTACTGCAGCTAGTCTCCTTGTCTAAATCTCTAGTGTTGTCCTCTGTTCTGAATCCTGTTTCTGTATTTTCTACTACTTTTGAGACTTTCTTTTTGATTGCCCTACTGACCTTTCAGATAAACATATTTAAAACTGAATTTAGCACCTTTCTCCCACAGTCCCTACATTTTGCTTTCTCTCTTAGGTACCATCCTTATAATCATCTGGGCAAAATCCTTTGAGTCGTATTTGCTGCTGCTTCTCCTCTTGCTCTTCCCCTATATAGTTTCCAATCCCTGCTGCTCTTTCATTTTTCTGTATTTTGGCAATATATTATTATGAAAAATTTCCAACATATATAAAAACTGAGTTTTTCAGTGAATACATGTATTATAATGATCATTTTGCTATGTTTGCTTTTTCTCATAGCTCCCTATGCTCCCGATTCTCTATGTATTCATGCTTTTTTTTTTTTTTTGTAAATATCATCCTCTCCCTTCCTCTAACTACCACACATTTGGATTATTCTGGTTTTTTTTTTTCCTACAGTTCTCCTCCAATGTATCTTTTATGCCAGTGGTCTGTAAAATAAACGATGGCATTCCAACTATTTAGGTACAGGAAGAAAATGTCAGTATCATGTTTTTATTGGGAAAAAATAAACGTCTCTACTATTTTACATACAGATTGGCAGTGGTATTCTACTTCATTCTATTTGTCAGATTATCATGTACACTCCTCAGAGTGTCTTAAAGGAA